TTACAACAAAATTACAAGTCTACATTATCTGTTTTAAGGAAAATTATAAACTATTTAACGTGTTGTAAATGCCTCCAGCTATAAAAAAAATCTTCGTTATTGTTCGTATTTTTTATTTAAAAAATAGCAATAAAAATTGCGTGTCATGACTCCAATTTCCTTTACGCAACGGATTTATCCATAAAAATTGTATTTATTCATATTAAGTGAAAAGAGAAAGGAAATATTTTAAGGGAAAATCTGTATCGTGTGACAAAAAAATTTTAAAGTAATCTAACACCAGAAATAGAACGTAGATATGCATACACTCACCATTTCGCCAGAGTACATCGCACGTGTGGAGCAGTCATCTCCCTCTTGATTAATCCATCCCTCGATGTTCATCAATGCACTAGCAATGTACTCGCAATACTCGATCACACGCGCCCGCGAATAATGCGAAACTCACGAAATAATGCGATTCGTGCGCGTCAATACGTCTGGAATGATATAGCGATCGATATCGGAGAGTGTAGATACAGGGAACAATAAAAAACGCATATAATCTAGATTGGACGGATTAATTGACGCATCAAAATGGTCGTCCGTAGATCTTTTGAATCTCAGAATTTCTTCGGACTCAATGGTTACGTTTAACAGAAAAAGCAACCAATCGTATTCATTTGCTCGGCGAGCAGGCTATAGTCACTTGAACGCGACCAAGCATATTTTACTCGCATGGGTAATAAATTAGCAGCTTTGTTCTGCTTAAACATATTACGTTTAGAAAACAATATCAATTCTTTATATCAATATCTACACTGAGAAAAAAAATGGCTGTTTCAAAAAAATATTAGTTAATTCAACTAAATGTAGCAGTCACGGGCTGTCAAGCAAATATTTGTAAATTCAACCAAATATTTGTTAATTCAAACAAATAACATGTTTTAAATTACAAGATTTGTTAATCTAAATATAAAATATTTGGACTAAATACTCATTACGAACTAAACGCATTTAGTCAAGTTAACAACTTTTTTTCTCAGTGTATGATTAGTTCTTGCTATTGGTTCTTCTCATTGGATCTAAATGTATAACATATTAAAGAATCTTACAAACAGTTGCAAAGCTGCTAGTCTACTAATCAAGCTTATCGTTAAATATGATTGATTGGATCTGTAAAGAACCAGTTTCATACTTTATTTGCTGATGTAGCCATTGACTTTTAGAAGATAAAACTATTCATCGTCAGTGAGTGCTTAATTCGTTATTATGTGATTATTTGTTTCCTTTAAAGAGATGTTGGCGTGCGGCAACCAAATTCCAACGAGATCCGCTGTTTTATCGATAAAATGAGATTTATAATACACATATACCATTTACAATAATACAAACATACTATTTATGAAATATCAAACAGTTATTATGAATTAATTAATTATTATGAATTTATTAATTATTATGAAACATCGACACATCATTATATACTACATCAATATCGCACGCATAGGTAGAATAAGATCGCTCAAGAGTACACACTTTTTCTTTCATGCTGTATAACTTATACAAGATTTCGCAATTTTTAAAAATTTATAACTTGAAAACAAAGTTGCATATTGATAAATGCTGCGAATACGTACATATTTTTGGCTTCAAAAATCACCAAAATAATTGGCATCGAAAAACTCGATGATTTGCACTTCTGGGGTTTCTGGGTTAAAAAAATAAAAATGTACTTTTGAGTGTCTTAAAAGTATGCACTATAAAAAAAAGTATCACTTATTGTAAAAACGATTTTAATTAAAGTAAAAAAAAACATTTATTTTTGTGATCGAATATAAATCTTTATAAATTATACCTGAAATATTTTCCACACACAGAGTTCACATAAATAAATTTTCGATCAACAGTAAACCCCAGCGTAATCGGGATGGGTCTAGAGCCAACAGCTTTGGCACTAGATCCAATTTTCACCGGATTTAGAATTCAAATATAAACCGTCACAAAATATGTAAGCTATATCATCGTTATTATTATCTATAGCATCACTGTTTTTTACGGGCTGGATCAAGTTTTCAAATACGTGCTTTTAGGCTATCACATAACTTTTTATTTTTAATGTAATCGTACAAAGCAGATCTATATGAACACAATATAATTGATACAGATTCGCAAAGCAACAATTAATGTAAAAACCGATTAACTTATTCGTGACAAATTAATACAATAAGAAAATGGTCAAAATCATAAAATTTAATACGTCTCTTTTATCATTATAATGATTATAACTGTTTTTCATACACAGATTAGCTAACCAAAAAGACTTGTTCTGCGTGAATTATATTAGTCGCTGTGATCTAATAGTTGCGCCGTAAAGCTCAAGTTTTAAGTGGTGTTTTTGGGCAGTTTATCCTACACAATTTGTCGCATAATAGAATATTTTTGTTCGGGTTTCTAAGTAGTTTAATTCTGATTATACACATATATTCGTTTCATTATTTTATATCTGATTCTGTATTTACTTCGAGTATATAACTTGTATAACATTTCCAATGAAGTAAATGCGTAAATCGCTAAATTGATCGTCATATTAAAGTAAAATGAACAAAGAAATCTGCAATTTCTTAGTTTTTTCCTGTTTTAAACACAAAATACACCAGAGCCAGATACATTAGGTATTTTAATTTTGGAAAAGGAACTCTAAGTGATTAAGTTTTCGGTGAAACTAATACGAGAAGTTACAGTATGGAACAAAAATAGTATTTTTATCGATAAAACAGACGGCGCTAGCATCCTCTTAATTTTTTGCTGGATCTAAATATTTTAAATATACAAACCATATCAAGAATCATGTACTAAACGCTCACTGAAGTCGGTATTCATAGTTCTTATTTTAAGACTGTTTTAAGTAATATCTTACGATACTAATGCGGCTTTCTAGACGGTATTCAGTTGAGTCTTATATTTAAGACCTTTAAGTACAGTCTTAAGATGTTATAAATCAATCAAAACGCTGTGTATTAACATCTTAAGCCGGTCTTAAAATGATTTTAAAATAAGAACGAACTATGAGTACCTCCCTCTGATTGGTTCATGACGTCTTAAGATTGTACTGAAAGATACTCTTAAATATAAGACTCAACTATGAATACCGGCTTTAGTGGCTTTGCCTTCTGTAACACGCAGGCAACATAATCATTATTACATCGCAAGCGAAAACCGATCAAGTTACGTGCTATCAGTGAACATGGCGACACGAACTTCGCCTCGCAAATATCACGGGTGAGTGGAATCACTTGTCTCGTTTAATGCATCGCGACGTGGTCCGTTACTGTCCGTTGACGCTTCCTCTCAATGGCTTCTCGATACTTTGGATGGCGCACAGGTACGTGCTCGAGTTCCCTTCGATGAATCGTTCGCTATTCGCGATTGAACGCTGTGCGATAAACGAGCAAGTTATGGTTATGGTTATGGATGATCGCGAAAGACACGCTAATTGCGATTATGCAAGATAATTACAGTTAGCGATACGTCGAGATTGTCCATCGTTTAATTCGGCATTCTCGACACTGACTACATACACCGATAGATCTATTTTGTGGCTTGACCAATATTTTAGGTTGGGTCATCAAAACGAGGCCTGACCATAGGCTACATTTACACCGTGCCCTTAGTCCGCGATCTATACGATAGGTGTCTTTGTTTAACTTATAGGGTAAACAAGGACACCTATTACATAGTTCGCGGACTAAGGGCACGCTGTCATTATTGAGAAGATAGATCATTTATCAACTGTTTACCACTTTACATTATAGGCTACGTTTACACCATGCAGTTAGGCCGCGGCCTATATAATTAGGTGTTCTTGTTTATCTTATAGGTTAAACAAAGACATCTATTGTATAGGTTGCGGACTAAGCTTACGGTGTTAACGTAGCCACAGTGGACACTGCGAACACTAAGGAGCCTAAATAATTGAAAGTCAAATTTGAGGTATAGGCCGCGGCCTAAATGCACGATGTAAACGTAGCCACTGGTTTACACTTGGAAATTGTTTAGAAAGTGGAAAAGGCGAAAAAGTGTGAAAATTGAAAGCAGTTAATTGCAAAATCCAACTACGTCAATGATTACCAACGGTGAATTGGACGGCTGCGCTGATTCGTTTGCTGCGCGACTCACCACTCACCACAAATCACCACCAATTTCATGCAATTTGAGAAAATTATATTTACTATAACGCGACATTTTGAATTGTCAATGAAAATATTTATGATATAATCTTTATGATATAATTACCTATGATATGATATAATTACAGGAATAAATTGAATCACATTTAAGTTTAACTCATTTGATATTGATCTCTGACCAGCCACGATATACGTAACGCATATATCGCGGAAAACAGATCGTTTCGATGAACGTCCACGCTGTTTGTCTGATCAAATGCAAAGCGATTAATGAATCATGAGAGGCGTGCTACGTAATCAAGTAGAGCAATTAATACTGATATTGATACGTCAAAATCCTCTATCGCCGATTTTGGCACTTTAGACGCTAAATTCACGGATGAGTGACAAGATGCGAGAACACGAATCGATCACGAGGTTTGACTATACATCGATAATTCACTGTCCGACAAATTTAAACTTTTTTTTAAACTACGAACGGAATAAAATGATTCCTACAAATTTTGTAATGTCGCTAAAAGGCAGAATTGGGTTGTAACTAGTTAATAAGTTAAAAGTTAAATAAAAAGTTAAAAAGTTAATAACTTTTAACTTAATTTAGTTACTTTTAAACTTCAATTTATTAACTATATTCTTTCTATGTTAAAGTGTTTTTTATTCCTCTGACTGCCAATATTATATTCTATAAAATCTTAAATATTAGCAAATTACTTTAGAAGAAGCTCATTGATTGTGTGATAGGTGCGACGCTCGTAGTGTCAAAAGATGAACGTGAGTTGAGTCTGTAGGGAACGCTATCAGTGCTATTGCGTTATATTACCTTTGTTTTACGTCTAATGAGAGCGGTAAAGAAAGAATATACGAGCGATAAGATGCAAAAGTGTGAGTTGGTCGCAGAGTTCGATTACGCAATGATTTACGACACGAACTGAACTGCAATTTCGAAGTTCGGACACGTGACTCCGCGTTCACGCAACGCGGCGTTCGGGAAATTTCTTTATTAAGGAGCAAAGTCTTATTAATTGTAAAACGTAAATCGCTATGTTCGAATATGCGGAAAATAGTCGACTATGATCGGTCAATTTCTTATAGCTTAAGGTTTGCAATTTTATTGTACACATCACGTTAAGAAAATATAAAGTGACATGGTCACTTTTGGAATTCATGGTTGATGTAAATTGCGAGTATAGAACTGATCGGCATTCGAAATGATATCGGACAGATCGCTGCAAATCTTATACATACGTTCGCAATGGCGTATGCAAAGTAAATGGCAGTCGTTTGCTGCAGTCAGTTCCTCCGGGCTATATCTAAAAATCGCAAGAATAATAGGATATTCCTCTTCCGGGATTGGAGTTATATGCGCAGTTAAAATATTGGAGTTAAAATATCGAAAATATGGAAAATAATTTCAGGGAACGATGAAATATGTGAACGTTGAAATGCGATAGCCAAGCGGAAAGACAAATTCCGGATTATGAAAATCCGGTGCTCATCGATTTTTTGCTGCTTGTGTCGACTATTTAATTTCACTCGCCGGTTGCAAATATTCCAATTCCAATTTATTAAATTGATGACTACAGTTTTGCAGAGGTTTCTCGTAAAGCAAACAAAACTTCGATTTCGGTAAAGAATTATTATTATTTCATAGTGTGCTGTATTTAAAAATATAATTTTTTCATAACTCGGAGTATCCGTGGACGTATTAATTTTCGCTGAAAGTGATATCGTGCTTTAAACACCGAACTGAATATTAACGAAAGAAGCCAGTGAGTTAGGTGAGATGACGTTTAAAATCACACCACCTGCCGAGCAACGATGTCGAGCTATTAATTTTAATGCTGGTCTTGCAGAAGACCACGTTACACTCAAATATACAAAGCACTCATTGCATTTGCTCACGTGGGGGTTCCGTAAACAAAGTTTTCGCGTTGGACTTATAGGACAAAATTTGGAGTTTTTATTTAGTGAGAAAGTTTCATCCTGACGCTTACTTTTCGTCTCAATGTGGAAAGAAATATTTGTCTACTTACGCTATGAGACGGTATGCAATGCATAAAGCCTTCCCATCGGAGCGATCATCGTGTAAACTTTTTTCATGTCCTTTGATCGAGCTTGTAGTTCCAAAAGGGAAACTCAAACTACTCTTTGCGTTTACTAAAAATCGAAGTATGTACGCGATTGAAAAACTTTTTATACATGAATTAATTATCCACGTGCTTAAAATTCTTATTTAAACTTCCATTTGAGGTGCTTGTTCGCGTGTAAGTCTAATTACATCACATAATTTAGTATATTAAAATACCAGTATAAAATTAATAAAAAAATACTATAATAAGAGATACACATATATTATAAATGTTCATGAACATTTAAGGATTTTTTTTGATAGATTGGAAGTTTATTAGTTCTATTATCACATAAACAGTAATTTGTTACGTTAATAAATTACTTTTTTTGAATATTTTAAAGCTTGGAATGTGTGTGTGTGTGTCTTTTCTTCTCGTTTCTTTTGAAATGAAAAAATATTAGGTTTTGTAAAAATCATAACTTTTTTACTGAAGAAAGTATCGCCAAAATACAGCTGTTAAAAAATAAGGAAAAAAAGATAGGCTTCCTCCTATATAAGAAATACTGCTAAATATTATTAAAAAATATCTATTATTAAAAGTAGTAATTTATTATTAAGCATGTTATCATTAAAAATGTTAAACTAAAATTAAATAAAGGAAAAGAACAAATAATGAATAAGCAGAATAAAAAAAGTAGTAGTATCTTTTTATAATTAAAAATAAAAAATAAATAAATGAGGAGGTGGAATTTAAATTCCTTACCCACTGAATATGCCCATGTAGATGCTCATATATTATAATCTATTGGAATAACTTAAACGATAATACATAATTTAGGGCATTTAGGAATCCGCGCTGTAGGCAATGCGCTTAAATTACTGCACGAACCTCAGTATACTTGAATATATTTAACATTATTGAGTACAAGCTCTTATTACGGTGGTTATAATTATCTATTAGGTCAGATAGTCCCTTTATTTAGAATTGCCTGTTACACGTCGTCTTACTTAATTTCGTTAACTTACACACCTGTTCCCCGTATGTGCCATTTCGATTTATTTCTTATTGTCGCAATTGGCTATTGCCACCTGCGAATTATCTACTGTATTCACTACATCTTGACGTGTGCCGTACAGTAAAATAATGTTTATATGCGTGAAGAGCAATATCGCTTTATCGTTTTAAGCTTTCTTAAAATATCGATTTTATATAAAGATATATATTGTTTTATACATATACATACGTATAAAACAAATTACATAAATACACAAACACATACAGCTTCAGTTGTTGAGAACTTTAGCTGATCTTATAAACCAGACAACAAAGGGTCAAACTGCTAAAAGAGATTCCTCGCATCAGCAGCGTACGTGCTAGCATGAAGATGCATGTAAATCGCATATGCCACCCTCTTTCACGCGCATTTTTCATTCTCAATTTAAATTCACAGCTCGCACTATAACCGTATGATTTGTGATAAACCAACGCGAACGAGATACTGTCAACCAACTCGTAGAATGCGCATCTGCGTTTATTGTTACAACTTTATTTTTAGAATGAATTTTAGAAATAATACACTTGCATATTGTGTCGATTTAATCATTATTTCGGTTAAGAAATTATAGCATCAATTTAAATGTTTAAAACTATATTTGTATTAAATGATACTATGATCTTTACCAGCTTTAAGTATTTTATATTTATCATAAAGCGAAATGTCATCATGTTTTTGAAAGACTATTAGAAGATAAATTCGTGCATGGCTGTATATGGTCTGTGCGATTTTTAGTTGCTGTCACAAACTGGAAGTCGGAGAGGGAAAAGGTGGAGTTATTTTATTTGATAAATGCATGGGAGTATCTGACAGCTGCTGCAAGAAGGCTGGCTCTCTTCTGCGCCATCCTCACTCCCTCTCTCTCTCTCCCCCTCTCTCTCTCTCCCTCTCTCCCTTTACTAGTCGCGTCTCTCGATTCTATTTTCCAACTTGAGTAGGATGAGCGAGAGGTAAAAGCGGGTGTCGAGGATGGCTGGGTCGAACTCGCCACTTTGCTTCGGCTTAAAAGGACACCTAAGTTGGCACAGTCGAAGCTTCTTTGGGATGTTCGGAACTTGCCAGTCGTCAACGGGCATGGGAAGGTTGTCGTTGATACTAATGTCTTTTCTTAACGAAGGAAGAATTAGTGCTTCCACGAGAGAGTTGTTGAAAGAGTGAAATTAGAGCACAGATTCATTTAATGGCGAAATAATAAAGCTTCTCTCTCTCTCTCTTTCTCTGCGTGTGTGTCTTTGTCTTTTTCTGCTCCTTTCACGAATACAAATTAGAGATTTATGCACGTTATTTAACACAATGTATAATTTGCTCTTGTTTATAGTGCAACTGATTTTGCCACTATTGGATTTGATAGATTGGAGAGAGAGAATCAGAATCAGAATTGTTACTTATTAGATGTTCTGGGACTACATCCCTTAAAATGTACATGCATTTCTACGTGAAAGAGTGAATAGCAAAATTAATTGATCGTAGACTTAAATACACTAAATAAAATAAAAAATAAATATAAAAATAGAAGTAAAAAGAAGAAAAAATGTATACCAAATTTGTGTGCGCACATGTTGCGTGCGAACGCACAAATATTATATAGTTACATGGTGGTTGTGAATACGGAAGTTCGTATCTTAAAATATTAATTCTAAATACGATAGATCTATAAGGATGACAGAACTATTGCTTTGATATAGTTATTGAAGATAGAGAATTATTGTGCATGGTTAGCTGTGAGTTTGCGATGATCGTGAAAACGAGTGCATAAAATTTGCTTTTCAAAATTCCAAACGAGAAATATAACACTGCGGATACTAAAAGGAATATCATTCTACAGTTCGGCAGCTAGACAATAAATGGAACGTTTAAAAAATAAATTTTTTATATGAAAGAGAAAGAGAAAGAGAGAGAAGCTTTATTATTTTGTCATTGAATGAAATTATTTTATATATACATATATACATATATGATAAATTTACTTGTGCATCCTCCCTTGAGTTTGAAGCTAAATAACTTTGCTCGACCGGAAGTCTAGTGGGATAGGTAGTTGATCTCAAGTACAATTGCGCTCTGTGTTGCAATTTCTAATCGTTATATTGCTCTGTCAGGTGCAGCATGATTAATTTACATACAACTCGTGCATAACTGTTGCATTAACTGTTATCATAATTTTATATAGAAATATAATTATGTATATCTAAAATTATAGTTCAAATTATAATTAATTTTATATATGTACATAATATTGTAATATAATTTAGTGCAAATTACTGAATTATTGAATAAGTAACTAAATACAGCTGCAGTACTTTTGAAAAGAATTATTGAACAAAAATAGTAGAGATGAGGACTTTTACAAAATTTAATCAATTCATAAAGAGACTTCAAAGGATTTGCTCTTAAAGATATAAAAAACATAATTAAGTCATGAGTTGGTGAGTTCTATGTAGTATTGTCGTATTTAATGATATTATTGAGTGCTACTTGTTAAAGACTCTTCAAGAGGATATTCAGAAAATTTCTTATACGGAAGCTGACTTCGGACATTTATTTAAAAATAAAAAGAAAACTGTAGAACGATAGTTGTTCTTGAAATCTCGGAATCGTGCGAATGACCACTCATGAAATTCTTATGAAACAACCGTTTCTCAGTATTCTTATAAAATATTTTCTTAACAAGAGTATATATAAATTTTTATGTACAGTTATAATATATATATATATATATATATATATATATATATATATATATATATATATATATATATATATATATATATATATATATATATATATATATATATATATATGTATACATATATTTCCAACTATAACCAAGTTTGACAAAGTTGTGCAATTGAATCTGTTTCGTTGAATCCTCTAGCAAGACACACCGAGCACCTTATTTCCCACGTTCGATTCCTGATGACGACGACGACCGTTGCGATCCTCTTCTGAAAGCCAGGTAACTCTGTTTTCTCGACCGTGAGGTCATGCCGCGTAGTAGAGGAGTGCTTCGGCAACGAACCAGCAATTGCCAGGATCGATATTTTGCGGTTCGGTTATATATCGAGTTAAAGACGGTCCCCCGCGGAGGAAGGCGATGGCGACGGTGGAAGGCGCCGACGTTGGCGGACGAGAGAGGGTTGGGAGCTGCCGCTGAAATTGAGATGCCTTATCTTGAGGATGAGAAAGGAGCTTCCGGATGGAGTGTAGTCGAAGTGAGGTCTCGCAAAAATCTCCCGGGGAATAAAAGGGGATACTGCTTGCGGGAACACCAAGCAGTTCCAGCGGTTCGAACCATTCCTGTCGTTCGTACTCGCGTACCCGAGATTCCACGTTTCCAACTAGAATTCCTTCACGTGGAAGTGGAAGTTGAGAGTGAGTTGAGCGGACGTGCGCGATGTAAAGTTACTGGCTCGGTCCCCCTTGGGTGACATTGTTACTGTTTTTGGATAACGCAACTCACCCCTATTGCAATGCTTCCGTTCTCTGCGTGCCTGGGAATCAACCTTATTACTATCAATAGAAGTATCTCCTTTGTTTAACTACAAGAGATCGATTTCTTGGTCACACATAGTCAGATAATTTTAATATATTAATTATCTTTCCTCGAAATTTTTTTCCAATTTTGATATAATAATCTACCTATATTTAAGATTTATATATATATATATATATAAAGGTTTTATTATTTACGGACAATTATAAATCCATGACTTTTATATAGATTTATTAATTTCTATTCTACAGTAATTCAATTTTTATTTAATGGTTGAGGTAATATTTTTCGCAATATTAAGTTCTTTGCAGTATTTTAAGACGCTTATAAATATTATTAAATTAATCAATTTAACTTATGATATTATTATTTGAGCTTCGCATTTCAAATCTGACAGTAATCGGCGCGCAGTTTATATAATTGGAAGATGTATTTGAAATTTACATATAACAAGCTTACTCAATAAAGCGATAATAGAGGTGCGGTTATGTAATAAAAGTCTTTTATTAAAATTCCATTATATAAAATCAATTCAATCTATTTTTACTTGAATTTTATAAAGTAGTATTCAATAAAAAAGTTGGATTCATGGTTTTCGCAAGAAGCTATAGTAGCATCGAATCGACGATGAAATTCAATTTATAAGATTATTATTATTATTTCAGTTTTTGATTGTGTTGCGAGTTCGAAAGTAATCAGCACATAATCATATCTCTGAGATAAATATATTTGAAAATACATATAAAAATATTCTAACATTTAACTTTGACTGTAAGTTGCACTTCTTTTACTTACAAGGGAACCTCGCGAAGTGTTAAATTCTAATTTTAATAAAACTTCGTGTACTTGTAGTTTATATAAAGAGATGAATTAAAAAAATATCAGTTGTGATCAAAAAACGGTTTGAAGGGGCGAAATCACCCCTTTTGTGTTAAGCGAAATTTCCGTTATATATCGAAAGCTATTCGAGATATCAAAAAATATTTTATACAAAAGTTTTACAATAAAATTACCCCTCTCTCTCTCTCTCTCTCTCTCTCTCTCTCTCTCTGTTCATCCACATCAAAAATATTTTTGAAAAATAATAAATTTTTTTAATTTGAAAAAATTGTTTATTAAAGTTATCATTGATATAAATGGATAGAGGTAATTTTGTTGTAAAACTTTTGTATAAAACATTTTTTGATATTTCGAATAGTTTTCGAGATATAACGGAAAAAGCTGAATTCCGCTTAACACAAAAGGGGTGATTTCACCCCTTCAAATCATTTTTTGACCGCAACTGACATTTTCTAAATTCATCTCTTTATGTAAGCTACAAGTACACAAAGTTTCATTAAAATCAGAATTTAATACTTCGCGAGGTTCTTTTGTTAATTTATGACTTTCACCTTTCATTTATCTGACTCTTAGCGTTCATGCCTATTGTACTTCGTACGGTCATCATTTTTGAATGTAAAGTCGAACTCCCGAAATGTTTCCATTGAATTCGTAATCTTATTCCTGCGATTTTTGACACCTGTGATCGCTGTTATGCGAACTCTTTAGGATGAAGTGTATTCTACAGGATCGTTTCGAATGGTTTGAACTCGCTTTACTCTTTTAATATCGTAGAATCGTTTTATCACGGTGACATTCTCGTTTTGCACGTAAGATCGAAAACTGTGTGTGTCATGGTCTTGCAAATCTTACAATAGTGCTAGAAAAATTTACTTGAAGGAGCAGGTGCTCTATGAAATTATCTGGTGTGATCTCTCCTTAGGATTCTAAGTCTGTGTTTGCACTACATCGCGTTCCGCGATCATGCTCGTTAGATGCCCCACACGGGACTGACCTCTACCCTTTGGCGAAAGATCCAGCCCCTATCTGGCGCCAGCGGGAATTTCAGCATCTCCGCATAGATACCCGGAGGTAATGCCCCGAGTGGCGTACCTCCGCCCTACTATTCCCTATAAAAACAAATTGCCCCAAGCTGGCG